ATGATAATGTTAGTGATAATGATCCTAGTAATAGTAAAAGATGATAATAATGATTATAATGGTAATGGTAATAGCAATAATAATGATAATAATAATAATATTGATAATAATAGTAATGATAATGATGATAATAATGATGATGTTGTCATAATGAGAATAATCATAACAATGATAATGGCAATGATCATATTAACAAAAATGATTATGACAATAATGATAACGATAACAATAGGAATAATAGTAATAATAATGTTATTAATGATAATGATAATAATAATAATGATAATACCAATAATAATAATTATAATAATAATAATAATAATAATAATAATAATAATAATAATAATAATAATATTGATAATAATACTTACAATACTCACAATAATGATGATAATATTGATAATAATACTGATACTTACAATAATGATAATCATAATAATGATACTGATCATAATTAGAATAATAATAATAATGATGATGATGATAATGATCATAATATAATAACAATTATAATAATAATCTTCTAATGATGATAATGATAATGTTAATAACAACAACAATAGTGATGATGATGATAATAATAATAATAATAATGAAATAATGATAACATAGTACTGACAATACCAATAATGTTAAAGGTAATGAAAACAGTGATGATAATAATGATAATAATAATAATAATGATAACAATGATAATAAAGACAATAAAGACTGATAATAATGAAATAGTAATAATAATAATAATAATGATAATAATAATAATAATAATAATAATAACAATAATAATAATAATAGTAACAATAACAATAATAATAATGATAATAATGATAATAATAATGATAATAATAACAATAATAATAATAATAATAGCAATGATAATGATAATAATAATGATAATGATAATAATAATAATAATAATAATTATAATAATGATAATAATAATAATAATAATAATAATATCATTATGACAACAACAACAGCAACAGCAAAAATAACAACAAAAAATAATAATAAAATGAAAATAATGATAATAATAATAGTAATAACAATAATAATGGCAATAATAATAATAATAATAATAATAATAATAATAATAATAATGATAATGATAATAATAATAGTAATAATAATAATAATAACAGGAATAATAATAATAACAGTAATAATAATAATAATAGTAACAATGATAATGATAATGATAACAGTAATAACAATAATGATAATAATAATAATAAGTGCCTATAAAACACGGCGTAATAAGCTCTATGCTGTGTCTAAAAAAATGAAAAGAAAAAGGGGCAAGACAGGCATGTGGGACATAGAAAAAAGTGTGAAAAAGAGAAGTATGTATTAATAAGAAAGGAAAAGAAGGGAAAGTATTTATTGTCAAATAGGAAAGAAGTAATTCCATTACCCTCGTATCCCCATTTTCACTTACGGAAAGTAGCGAATATCTTTACTATTTTTGACCTGAAGAAACATCAAATAAAATAATTTACATTTTTTATCAACATCAAATAATATAATAACAAAATATAAATACAATAACTACATCATAGTGAAATATCTATTAATTTCCCACAATATTTTGACACTTCGACAATAGTTTCTAGGTTGTTTGTTTACAGCGTCGCCCATCCATCCAGGAAGGAGGATTCTCGTAGCCTTTAAATAAACCCCCTCCAACGCCCTCCAAAATGTGCGACGAGGAAGACAGGACCGTGTGGGTGGGCAACCTGGATTCTGAACAAGTGACAGAGGATATCCTGTTCGAATTGTTTTTGCAGGTGAGCTGAAAACCGGGGATTCCGAGACCTTGAGCGGGGTTTACTGTTAATACGTCGGGGAGTCTTGAGGTTTGAGATTAATTCTGTTTTTTTTTTTTGGCTGAAGATTGTTTATTATTTGGGGTTAGAATGGAGGCTTAGGAGTTTTTGGTAGATTGTCGTACTCGTAGTGATGTTGAGAAAGGTGTAGGTGTGTCTGTGGCAACACGAGTTTATTTCAGTTCATGGGATTGAACTTGGCCTACTTTGGGGCCCAGGAGTCTGATTCTTGGGAAGGATAATCAATTGTAAATTACCTAATTTAGCCATAGTTTAGTGAATGGGTTGATGAATAATTGCTGTATTGTAAAGATATGGATAAATTTAGTTTCAATGTACAGAGAGATGTGGAGCACAATGACAGAATGGTAATTATTGCTCTTTCACATACTATGTTCTGACTAATTTACCTTCAAAAAGCAATTGCGACAATTTTGTAACTGATTCTTTGTATATTATTGATATTTTATGGTCAGTTTCATGCTCTTTCATGCTATTAGGGCCAAGATTATCACTAATGGGGATTTCTGCAGCATAATTTTAATATTTTTGAATAGTAGTGAGGAAAGGCATTCTGAAAAATTACCAAATTTATGAAGGTTCATTTCTATATCAACAAGCAGGGTATATATTTACACAATGAAGAATCCAAAGACAAATTTGTAAAGAGAGGAAAGTAAGGGAATTTCCCAGAGGTATGGGGACAAAGCCCTAGGACTTGAGAGGGGTGTAGTTACTTTGTAAACAATTTCAAGTAGATCTCTCCAAGTCTATTAATTTGAACACATGCAGCTAGACCCAAGCTATTAATAAGGGAGTTAATGAACATAATAAAGTAAAGGAGATTAAGGCACACTATGTGTGTGCACTCACATAGTATACCCGTTTGCTGACATATTGTTGTGTGGACATTAAAGTGATAGGCAGAAAACAGTTGGCAATGATATGAAACCATGGAAGTATAAAACCAAAATGTTTGTGTTGTAAATAAAGAGATGCCAGAATCACGCTGATAGGTGTCAAAACAAACTGCTCGATCAGTGGTGTGCGGCTATACACCACGGCGGCGCGCCAAAGCACTACGAGCCGGTGATTCGGCTTGATGTACCGAACTCCCACTCTCAAAGTCGGAGCATTGCCATTGATCAAGTTTTTTTTTTTTTTCTAAGTTTTCTTCACCCATCATCAAGGGGTTAAAGAGCTTTCACAATAAGGCAAATAATCATCATAGGACAAATTCATGCAAATCTCCATCTAGATTATATTAACCCTTTGCTGACGGGCATGCATTGCCATGCCCACTCTGAGTTTAATAATTTGATTGTTTTTACATATAGATGGCTGCACTTGTACTAAACCACCAGTGAGCCAATTACAAGTACTGCCTGTCTCGCCCGTTCACCCTTTTCTTTAATTTTTGAAATTATTTTACGTTATCTTATTTTGCTATTACTAATGATTATAACATTATAGTAATTATAATGTTTATAATAAAAATAACACCATTGATATTCATAACACTATTAAAAAATACATTTTCCTTCCAATTCCAGGAAAGGTGAAATCAGATAAGGCAGAGCTATCTGTGTGTAGTAACATTTCACAAAAAAAAAAATATATATATATATATATAAAAAAATGAGCACAGCATTTTTCCCATTTTTTATTCATTTTCCCCATCGGCAATGAGTTAAAGGATTACAACACTTTTATTTGTTTTATTGAACATGAATCTTTTAAAAGTGCTCTAACTTTAAAGAAACACTTGCCTGTTGTCTTTTAGTAATCCATCACCAGGTTGGTAACCTCTCTGTTGTATGCTTAAATCATTTATCTTCTTGAGCTGAGGGAACAATATCTGTGTGGTAGGTAGCACATGAAATTTTGCTCCTCAAGTGATAGTCCCGGAAGGTTACCTCTTAGAAATTTCACAAATGATTATTTCCATATTAGTACAATTTATTATTATTACTATTATTATTATTATTATTATATTTATTTTATTTTTATTGTTATGAAAAAAACAGGCTTATAAAAGTTTTGCTAGCATGTGTCTTTAATTTCGCTTCTGTATATTTAATTTAAATTAATTACTATTATTATTAGTATTATTTTTATTATTATTATTAGTATTATTTCTTTTTTCAGGCAGGACCATTGCAGTATGTCAGGATAGCTAAGGACAGAGCAACTGGAATGTACAAAAACTTTGCATTTGTTATATATCGTGATCCAGTGTCTGTTCCCTATGCAATTGAGTTGATGAATGGAATTCCTCTTTTCAATCGTAACATGAAAGTTCAGAATAGGGGCTTGCAAGAGTTACAACAGCGAGGACTTGCACCTGGACCTGGTGGGATACATACTCTGGATCCCAGCTTATTAAATAATAGTCCTCAAGCTCCTCAGCAGAATTACCCATCAGTGCAAGCACAGAGTTGTGGCCAACAGCAGTCTCTCTTAGGCCCTGGCCCAGGTATTCCAGCAGCGCTACAAGGTCGAGTTCCACAGCATATCATGGCATTAGCACAACAGCAGATAGCTTTGTTGCAGGCACAGCAGCCTTGTCTTTTATCAGACAGTCCTCTGCTCAATGCTCCAGGCATGCGCACATCAGATCGACTTGGCTCCGTGAATTATGGCATGTATGGTCAGGGACATCGAGGCCGTAACATGCAGGATAACATGCGAGGGAGTGGGTCAAGAACTAATGACTCACCACACAGTCAGCATTGGAACAGAGGACATCATTATGACAATAGGGACAGAAATTCTAGATCCTTAGATGATCGTCATAACCGTCATCATGAGGACAGAAACAGATATGGAAGGTCCTTGGATGATCACCAGAGTTTCCGTCATAATCAGAGAAGTGGCGGACAGAAATACATTGATAATGATGCAATGAAGATGCTGAAAGGGCAGCAGAATAGAGAAGACAGTATTTCTCAAAATTCCAACATGCTTGCTCAGTTACAGCAACAGCAAGGTCGTTTTGACTACAATAGGTTAGGACCAAAGAATGATTCTTACATGAGACCAAATGGACACAGTCATGACAGTCATAGATCAAGGGATCATTATCACAGCCGGTCTCATGGAAATGACGACAGGTCTAGCGGTAGGTATGATCCATATAGAAGTTCCAGACGTTAATGCCATTGTGCCTACAATATTGTCAAATGCCAGTTTGGTACTTTTTTTTTTATGTTTTTGTTTCAGAAGAATAACCTACTTATGTACCTGTGTATATAAATTGCTGGAGGTTATTAGATGAATATTTATGGCAAATTTAGTGTTCTCTGGCATTTTTATCGCAAGATTTGAATATGAATTTTTATATTTGGGTAAAGGTAACAGAACTAGATTTGTTTTGTCATCCATGTGGTTTTAATGGATACAGTATTTCCTTTGTGAAGTATTTAAATAATGGAAACTGCAATATTTGTATTATGTCTCTTCTCTTTTCATTTTTGTCTTCAACATTATTATTTTTAGCTGGTGAATTTTCCATTTACTTAGTCTTAGATTTATTGCATCGTTGTCTTCAGATAAAGTGAGACTGTGATTGTGAATGTGTGTGAATATGTATGTGGGTGTGAATGCATGTGTGTGCAAGTTTGTGTAAGTGCGTTTAAGGACTGAATGTGTGTGCACATCTACACACAAATGTAGATATGCTGATTTTCATGAGTGCACACATTTTCTTTCATACTCTCCCTCACTTTTCCTTCTCTTACACCAACTTTTAGAGTTAAATCCCAAATCTAGTTGCATCGGCATCAATAGGAATATGAATAAAAAAGAAAAAAAATATTAAAAAGGGGGTTTTGATGCTTGGTGTATGTAGGATGGGTGGTGAAGAAAATATGTGTATTCTTATCATTGTATAGGCATATAATCCCAGTTTTATTTTACACTTTCTCTCTCTCTCTCTCTCTCTCTCTCTCTCTCTCTCTCTCTCTCTCTCTCTCTCTCTCTCTCTCTCTCTCTCTCTCTCTCTCTCTCTCTCTCTCTCTCTCACTTTTATTTTTTCTTTACACATGAAATATTGCTCTGTAAAAGAATTTGAGATTTTCAGCTTGCATAGTTTTGATGTACATTCTTTATTGACGTGTTCATTATTTGTAGAATCCAGTTTGTTACCACTTGTCTGTAAAGAAATATTATGTATTAACCTCAAATTTAGATTTGTAATTTTGAATAAGTACTAGAGTGAATTAGTTGTGGTTTTGATGGTAACCTTATCAAGTGGAGAAAACCTGTGGAGTTTTGTATATTTGAATACATTATATGAAATTTAGATATATGTGAAAGTAATCCTTGCAGTGCGAGTGAGAGAGTGAGTGAGTGAGTGACAGAAAGAGGGAATGAATGAGTGAGTGAGTGAGTGACAGAGAGAGAGAATGAATGAGTGAGTGAGTGAGTGACAGAGAGAGAGAATGAATGAGTGAGTGAGTGTAAAAACACATTGCATTCAACATGGCAATGCATATGTCTACACTGTTAAAAATGAAACAAAACAAAACAACAGAGGAAAAACAATGCCGACATTACAGATATAATAGAGAAAATGTCTGCTTGTTCTGCAGCTTTACATTACAACTTTATTATTAATTATTATAGTTCTTTGTTTCTCGTCTTAATGATTCTTTTAGCATTCCTTTCATTTTGAGGAAATACTGTGAAAACTGTGCTTGTGCAATAAGTAGCAAATTGAACACCTTGCTGGCAGATCCTAAACAGTGAAGTGTAGGAAAGTAAAGAATACATTGAATGAAAATTTAAAACTTAATATTATATATATTTTTTCTTATCCAGTTGTTTTTCTTAGAAATGTGAAAGTACGTTTGACAGATGGTTTGACTTGGAGGATGTTTCAGCAATAGTAAACTTCTTATCCATGTTTTATTTGTTGTAAATACAGTTTAAGGGACATTAAACTATGAACACAATTTTTTATTATTTTTATTACTACTATATTACTACCTTTAACGAAAGAGAAAATTAAGATTAGAAATCAAGGGCTTTTGTTTCATGGGTGTTATATTAAAGATTATTTGGTCTCCTTCCTTTTCTGTGTACTCTTTAATTGACTGAATATACTAAAGGTTTCTAAGTTGATATGTTCAGGTATGAATGTATGAATACTGTGTTAAAAAAATCTTTTCACCCACCAAAAAAAAAATGCACATCCATCTTGGGTATACACAATCTGTCTTTGTCATTGTCTCTGAATATATTCATATGGTGTGAAATATTCCCCTATCTGTATCTCAACTTAAAAAAGAAAAATAGAGAAATTTATTACTTTACAACTTTACCTATCTCCCCTAGAAGATAGTTGAGGTAGTGTGTTAATAGGTGTGATTCATTAACATTTGGGCCCACTGTGTCTTCCTCCCAACACCTGCAGTGACATCAAAACTATTCACATCACATTATAATGACATAAGAATGTGAGAATGCTTCTACACAGGACTTCAGAGTGGAAACTGTTTGGCATACCATTGTTAATCCTTACACAAAAAGCAGTTCAAGGGCAACAGTGACACAGAATATCTCTCACGGTAGGGGAGGTACTTAGACTCCCAAAGGGGACTCTCACACACTTTCTGCCTTGAGAGGGAAAGTAGAAGCTACTTTCATACCTTACTTCAAGACACTTAGAGGAAGAATATCCCATATTGCTAGAAGAGAGCCCCTCCCTCACCCTTTTCTTCTTGAATTTCTGCACTGTGCAAGGATTAGGTGGGGTTCTAAGAAAGCATTAGCAGTTTTCCAATTTGCATTCAGCTTCTTCAATACTCCAAATACAACTTTGGAGATTATAAGTAAATGTTAGAAAAAAATAAAGGTTTTTCGTCACTTCAGGTATCTCATAGTGACACCAAACAAATAATGCCACTAGTACAGGAGAAAGAGTAGCTTTATCCAGTAAACTGATGGTGGGGGCAGTTTGCAATTTCACATTTTTGAAGTCCTGAGTAGAAGCATTATCTTAATCTTACTACTTTTATCATGTTATGTATACAGTTTTGACGACACTGAGGGTATTAGGAGGGGACACAGCAGGCACTCAATTGTATCAATCTTGCCTATTGTCTTGTTCTACATGTCTATGAGGGAGATGGGTAAGGTTAGGAAGTCAAAAATTTCATTGTCACTTTTTTAGCAAGTTTTCCAATTTGCATCAGCTTCTTCAATACTCCAAATACAACTTTGAAGATTATAAGTAAATGTTAGAAAAAAAAAGGTTTTTCGTCACTTCAGGTATCTCATAGTGACACCAAACAAATAATGCCACTAGTACAGGAGAAAGAGTAGCTTTATCCAGTAAACTGATGGTGCAGGGTATGTCATAATGTGCATGAACACCACTTTGGTGTGCAATTTCACATTTTTGAAGTCCTGAGTAGAAGCATTATCTTAATCTTACTACTTTTATCATGTTATGTATACAGTTTTGACAACACTGAGGGTATTAGGAGGGGACACAGCAGGCACTCAATTGTATCAATCTTGCCTATTGTCTTGTTCTACATGTCTATGAGGGAGATGGGTAAGGTTAGGAAGTCAAAAATTCATGTCATTTTTTCAGCTGAGATACAGATAGGATGTCACTTCACAGCATGTGAGTATACCTAGACACAGACATAAATAATAATACACTTTTCACTTCACTAGGAAAAGAGCAAGAATGCAGCTCTAACATTTTATGGCTTTTAGGTACAGCACTGACTGACTGTATTGCCCTAAATTGCATTCACCACTTTTCTCAAGCCAAAATAAGTTCTACCTGTGAGTTATATAACTGAAGGCTTAGAAGAGCTGCCTAAATTTTTAAAAACTTGTAATTACCTTTATTAGGAACATTCACGGAAAATGTTTCCATTGACTGTCACTACTAATAGTTGCTGCTTTTCACTGAATGTTTATAAATTGATGATAATAGATAATAAAATCTGTACACATGCATATATATCTTCAATAGTCCTAGTGTACTAATGTGGTGGTATTTTGGTAGCAACAAATTGTTATGCACATTTTCCTGTATCTTGAAACATAGCTTTAAAATAGTTGGGCTATTTCTGAGAAGGAAAACAGCATCACACACACTGCAGACAATATGTGGATGTATATATATACAAGTACATTTTGAGATAAAATAAAGCAAAGATATAAAATATTTTTTTATTGATGCATCAGTTGAAAATACATATTTTATTATTATACATATATTACATACTTTCAGGCATCATAATTATATTTAGCATGACATGTTTTCCAAGAAGTATGAAATGTATTCAATCCAACAAGAATAATACCCTCGAAAATTACTGGCAAATTACTTGTAGATTTTGTAAGAAAAAAATTGACGATGATAACTTAATTTACTCAGTCCAACGGTGTGTGCACTCACTATTGCAACATACATAGTACAGTCTCATCTCATCTTCAGCTCTCCTGGTCTGGGCTTGGAAGAATACTGCATCACGTGTACTACACCTTGGGCATGGATGGTCGTCTGTCCGTGGCAGTGTTGGGTCCTTAGTAAAAGAGAACATTTAGAATACTTGAGAATAAATGGACAAGGTTTTGTTACTAAAGAAAAAGAAAAAGAAAAAAAAAATGAAAACTTCATAATGATCTTACATTCAATTTTCCCAATATGTATTTAATTATACACTTTATCAAGTTTGTATGGCACAGGCAAGATCAAAAACTGAACTATATATTACTTATATACAACCAAATCTGATATTTTATATGATCGTTACTTGCCAAGTTTAATACTTCAGATAAACCCCAATTATTAAGAAATGTTATGAAACAAGAACTCAACTATTTTCCATTTTTTTTTTTTATATATAATCATGTTATGCCTAGGTTCTAGGTTCTAAGAATATAATTGGAACCTATGTTGATACAAGCAATGTGCTCAATAATAGTAAATACAAGGCAATATATACTACTGCAAATGATGTTGAAATACTTCACACCCATTATTTATATCCTCTTTATCCTGAAGCAGGTACCACAACTAAGCAATGTTCAATATTCTAATACAGATAATATACTAAGCTACCTGCCTTAAATCTTAATGATAATATAGCAAATGTTAAAAGATGCATTCTTCCTATTTACCTGTATCACTTCTGGGTTAATGTGCCTGAGTTCATCAATTTCATGCATCAACTTGTTGACATAAATACAATTATTTTCTGTGGGCATTTTGTAATCACAGTTCCTGCAGGCATAAAGCAATATCTTGTTTTCCTGGAAATTCAAATCTGATTAATAAACTGGAGAAAAAGAAAACAAAAATGGAAATTATTTTGATGTCAAATCAAATGTCTCAGCAACAGACTTTGAGACGAAGAAGAAGAAAAAAATACCTTGTCTTCCTTTGGATACAACATGTTGTTGCACTCCTGACAGAAACGGATACCGACAAAACCTGGTCCATCTCCACCACCTTTTGCCATAAGACTCATGGCTGCGTCTGCTTCTGAAATGAAAATTAAGTACTTTTAATCAGAAGCATGATACTTTTCAACTAATTTGACACTAATGTACACATTTCAATTAATAAATCTTGCAAAATGATTAGAACTTATTATACACTAAGTCATTTTATACTCCAAAACAAGATATACACATAAGAAGACATGTTTGGATACCCATGGGATAACTTGTCTCTGAGAATAAACACATTTATAGATACATCATATTTCAAGCAGCAATTAGGAACACATGATCATTGCATTATAGCTTACCCAAAAGTCTGTAATTACTCATCACCCTACAATGTCGCCCACACTGTTATGTAAACCATATGAATACTAATCTGAAACTCACTATGGGTGAGAAGACTAAAATTTATCAACCTTAAATAGACCCTGCTCAATCATGTTCACTGACATGACTATTGTTGGCCAAAATAAAGTCAATACTAACTGTATTTGCCATTTCTTAATTCATATATTACAAAAAAATTACTCAATAGATATTTGTTAACTCATCACAAGCCCATACAATACTCAAGATGTTTTTGGGAATCTAAACAAAATCTATAAATGTATATGGATAAATTTACAAACTATGCTAATTCAATGGTAATCAATTTCTGTGCAGTTTAAAAAGCATTGGATATTTTTATGTCAGTGGCTTTCACACACAGATGAATTATTATATACATCTACCAACCTATCTATCTATATAGTGTATCATACTAACCATTCCTGAAATACCATTCATGATCATGACAAAGCTAATATTGTACTAATATTGTCATAAACATTTCCATTATATAGTTTTTTACACTGGTATTTTACATGATACAAAAAACTTGTGAAGATACAGGACTTAATTTTTTTATTTGTTTTCAAAACCTAAACTACTAATAATTAGTTAATCATAACTAATATCTACCAAACTTTGCTTGCTATTCCTTCATAAATGACTGTGTTCCAAAGCTATAATATAAAAACATCAAAGCAAAATGAACTGATAAACCTGAAACTATGTTCACCATTCAAACATATAATTAGGGAGCATTCTAACTGAATGGTGCAATGGAGTGGTGACAAACTGGAAGAAACTGGGAAAGCTTGTTTACTATCCCACCTAGATTCATAGACATAATGTTGTGAGGACACTATTACAGACATCGTAAGGCAGACTTGTAAAGCATCTTTGTTTATTTTTTTATATGCCACAGGTCCTATAGGCCTACACTACACATTGTGAAGCCATGCTTAACCTCCATACAATTTCTTTTTCGTCTTTTGTTTATAGGCTTATAGACTTTTGAAGTCCATATTTCCTGGATCTGCACTTCGATTTTCGCTTGACACTTCACCACTCTCAAGTTGGAATTTAAACTGGGTAAATATCCCGAATAGGATTACATAGAGGAAAAGCTAAGCTGAATCAAAATGACTGTAATCTATTATCACTACAGCAAAGGACAACAAACCTCCGTGTTTATTCTGAAAAGGTAAGACAGCAATTTCTAGACAAAGAACCACTACAAGCCTTGAATTGCATATAACATAAATGGCCAAGGCTTATTGGCCTTTGCTGAAACACCACATCACTTGTAAGCCTACTCTAGCTGGATATCTTTACTTAACCCTTTCTATCACTGAACTTGGCACATATATTGAGACAAAGTGACGTTTTGAAACTCACTACGGACGAACAGGTAAGAATTTCCAAACATAAAACCATACGTATGAAAAATAACAATAACGTTTTGTTACGTTTTGTCTTGGCTTGTCTTGGGGCAGCGGAGATAAATTTACCCTTTTGGGGGGGAAATGACTCAATAAACTGGTATTTAAACAGACGACTCCACACACCACACATTCCCTTACTCTTCCAAAACCAGTAGAAATAGTAGAAATAAAAAATAGAAGCCCTGCGAAGACGACACGAGATAAAAACGTTTTTTTCGGTGACTATTTGCTTCTCTTTTACCATGAAGTACGAGCCTAAAATATTATCAGAAAGTAAACATTGTGGGTCTTATTTTTTTAGGTGTTTTAGGGATTGGTGTTTTAACAGAGTGTTTCTTAGTTTATTATTTTGATAGAATTAATCATCATATCGTAAATAATTGTCAATTGATTATTCTGTTTTAGGCTCGTATATTTAAATATTATGCAA